CTCACTCAGCCAGTGAGTGGGAACCGGTCTGTATGTGGGATCCGAACCCTCGGGCGGGAGCGCCGCCGCACTTCCCAAGTGGCGCACTTATCCAGTGCACCACCGGGCCGGCCCGAATTACATATCTTTTAAAAAATTTTTTACTGGTTTTCCTAAAAATAATAAAATACAGTTAATAAAAAAGAATAAAAATAGAAAAAAGAAAAACAAAACAAAACAAAACAAAAAAATTTAAAAAAAACAAAAAAAGAGAAAAGAAAAGAAAAAAAATACAGTTAATAATAAAAAAATAATAACAGTTGTAATATACACTTACAACTAATCTAAGTCCATTTTCAAATAACACTATACTGCTTCACAGGTAGTACAAATACCTTATAACAAAGTATTACCAATTCCTCCCTCCTGTCCCTTCTACCACTGATGTCATTCATTTCACTTATCTGTAGGCAGTCATCACCTGATATATTTTTGCTTTTAATGTTGTTTTTTTTTTTTTCCTTTTTGTCTTTTTTTACTGACCGGTAACGGATCGCAACCCTCGGTGTTGCGCCCGCACCGCGCTCAGCCAGTGAGCGGAACCGGTCACCATATGGGATCCGAACCCTTGGCAGGAGCGCCGCCACACTCCCAAGCGGTGCACTCTCCAGTGCGCCACCAGGCTGGCCTGCTTTTAATGTTTTTTTTTTTTTTTTTAAAGATGACCGGTAAGGGGATCTTAACCCTTGACTTGGTGTTGTCAGCACCACGCTCAGCCAGTGAGCGAACCGGCCATCCCTATGTGGGATCCGAACCTGGGGCCTTGGTGCTGTCAGCACCGCACTCTCCCGAGTGAGCCACGGGCCAGCCCCCTGCTTTTAATGTTTTGAACAAAGTTATTTGTTAGATCAACTAAGAGTAAGAAAAACAAAATATATTATTTTACCTTCATTTATTCCTTCTCTAATTCTCTTATTTTCCTCATGTAGATCTGAGTTTCTTTTTTTTTTTCTTTTTTTTTTTTTTTAAAGATGACTGGTAAGGGGATCTTAACCCTTGACTTGGTGTTGTCAGCACCATGCTCAGCCAGTGAGTGAACCAGCCATCCCCATATGGGATCCAAACCCATGGCCTTGGTGTTATCAGCACCGCACTCTCCCACATGAGCCACGGGCCAGCCCTAGATCTGAGTTTCTGACCTGTATTATTTTCCCCCTCTTGGAAAACATCTTTTAACATTTCTTGCAAGCCAGGTCTAACGGCAACAAGTTCCTTCACTTTTTATGTCTGACTTTATTTCTCCACTTTTGTAGGATTATTTCACTGGATACAGAATTCTAGCCTGATGGTTTTCTTCCTTTAAATATTTCACTACACTCTCAGCACTCATAGTTTCTAAAAGGAAATCCAATGTATTTCTTTTTCTGGCAGCTGGCCAGTAAGGGGATCTGAACCCATGATGTTACTGTTATGAGGCTAAAGTAACCAACTGAGCTAACCAGCTAGCTTCCCCAATGTATTTCTTATCCCTGTTGTTCTAGGAGTAATGTGCTTTGGTTTTGTTTTTTGCAGTTGGCTGGTATTAGGATCCAAATCCTTGACCTTGGTGTTATCAGCACCACGCTCCAGCCAAGTGAGCAACCAGCCAGCTCTAACATGTTCTTTTCCTCTGACTTCTTTCAAGATTTTCTGTCTGGTTTTCTGCAGTTTGAATACAATATGCCAGGTATAAACTTTTTAGTATTTATTGTGCTTGGTGTTTGAGCTTTCTGGATCTGTGATTTGGTATCCATCATTAACTTTGGAAAATTATCAGCCATTGTGACTTCAAATATTTCTTCTGTTCCTTTCTCTCTTCTTCTGGTATTATCATTATGTTTATGTTATACCTTTTGTAATTGTCCACAGTTCTTAGATAGTCTGTTCCACTTTTTTTTTTCTCCTTGCTTTTAAGTTTAGGAAGTTTCTGTTGACATATCTTTAAATTCACTTATTCTTTCCTCAGTCCTGTCCAGCCTACTGAGGAGTTCATCAAAGACATTCTATATTTATTTATTTAATTATTATTTTTTTAATTAAAGGATCTCAACCTGTGGCCTTGATGTTATCAGCATTGGACTCCCCTGAGTGAGCCACAGGCCCACCCAAAGACATTCTATATTTATGTTAGTGTTTTTTAATTCTAACATTTCTCTTTGATTCTTCTTACTTTCCTTCTTTTTGCTTTTTCCACTAGAGCTCTTAGTATGTTAATCAGTTATTTTAAATTTCCTGTCTGGTTATTCCAGAATCTCTGCCATATCTAAATCTAGCTGATGTTTGTTTTGTCTCTTCAGACTGAGGGGGAGCAGTTGTTTTGTTTTTTGACTTTTTGCCTGTCTTATAATTTTTTGTTTGAAAGCCAGACATGAGGTATCAGGTAATAGGAACTGAGGTAAATAGGCCTTTAGAATGAGGTTGTATGTTTATCTGGCTGGGAGTTAGGCTGTGTTACTGTTTGCTGTAGCTATAGGTGTCAGAGGCTTCAATTTCCTTAGTGTTCTTGTTTTTGTCTCCCCTGTTGTATTTGGGTTTACCTAGCAACTCCTTTATTATATAGAGTCTGAGCCTTGCAGTTCATTCAGCTGTAATCCCTGTAGCCAACAGGAGCCCTGTTGACATGATGGTAAAGGCAAATGGAGGTTACACATCCTATAAGCCTATGATTAGATCTGTCTTTTAGTGGGCCTGTGCCCTTGGGCTGAGACCTTCAGAAGTGCTTCTTAGCTCCCCCCACATTAGGTGAGACTAGAAGGTTAAAAGGTGGCTGACCAGTTAGCTCAGTTGGTTAGAGTGTAATGTGGTAACACAAAGGTCAAGGGTTCAGATCCCGGTACTGGCCAGCAGCAAAAAAAAAAAAAAAAGGAAGGTTATAGGTCACTGAAGTTGAGTATTTCCCTTTCCCTAATCAGGATCAGGCAAAACCATTTCCTTTGGAGGCAGGCTTTTGTTATGCAGAACAGAATGCTCTGGGTGTATTTCAGAATGATTATACTTCCTCTTCGCATTCTGGAAGTAAAAGGAGAACTCTTCTCAGATCTTCACCATGAGAACCTGGTGGGACTCATGGAGGTAAAACTCACAGAGTATGTCCCCCTCCTCCTGCCAACCTGGGCCCACAGGCATTTTTAACTCTCAAGCTAATTCATACTCAGTCTTCGGCAATTAGCAAATTACCATTTCCCTGTCTTTCCAGTTCTGGGGGCAGTAGTTTGCCCTATGACCTCAATTTTCTTTCTTTTTTTTTCAAAAGATGATTTTTTTTCAAAAGACTATCGGTAAGGGGATCTTAAACCTTGACTTGGTGTTGTCAGCACCACACTCTCCCAAGTGAGCCATGGGCTGGCCCTTATGACCTCAATTTTCTGATGAATCTAAGTGTTGATTTTCAGTTTGTTCAGCTTCTTCCTTGTTGTGAGGACAGAGTGATGACATCCAAGCTCTTTATATGTCAAAGTGGAAACTGGAAGTGCCTGGTTCATTTTTTTAAAAATTAGCTTTATTGAAGCATAATACAACAAAGTTCACCAATTTTTAAGTGTTTAATTCAATGAGTTTGAAAAGCATATACAATCAAGTAAACCACCACCACAATCAAGTTTAGAACAAATTCATCACCACAAAAAGTTCCATCATGGCCTTGGCAATCAATCCCCTCTCCAGGCCCAGCCCCAGCTTTCTGTCACTGTCGTATTGCCTTTACTCGAATTTAAACAAAGCAAATCTTAAAGTATTTCATCTTTTGTGCCTGACTTCCTTCTCTTACCTAATGCTATTAAAGTTCATCCATGTGGTTCCCTGTATCAGTACTTTAACACTCACTGGGATTCCATTATATAGATTTTCCAGGATGTTTATCCATCCTCATCAAAAGAGATCTGGTCACTTCTACTTTCTGGTTATTTCACATAAAGATACAATAACCTTGCCTGTCACCTCTGTACTGGAGCTGACCTCTCAGGCAGTTCTTGATGGAGATGGGCCCTGGGTGGCAGAAAAGACCAGGTCCTGAAGACAACTGGCAGCCACAGGGCTGGCTAGAGCGCCAGCTTCTTCTTCTTCTTCTTTTTTTTTTTTTGGCAGCTGGCTGGTATAGGGATCTGAACCCTTGACTTTGGTGTTATCAGCACCACACTCTCCCAAGTGAGTTAACTGGTTAGCCCTTCACTACACTCTTAAGGCCTTTTTCTAGTGTGAAATTTCTGGCATTAAACAGCTTAGACATGCAGCTAAAGGTTCTCAGATATGTGCTGCACATGAGGCCTTTCTGTGTTGAGGGATTTCTGGTGCAAAACAAGTGTGGATATTTCAGTGAAGGCTTTCCCATATAGGAGGCACTTTCTCTTACGAAATTTCTGGCATTAAACAGCTTAGACATGCAGCTAAAGGTTCTCAGATATGTGCTGCACAATCTGTGTTGAGGGATTTCTGGTGCAAAACAAGTGTGGATATTTCAGTGAAGGCTTTCCCATATAGGAGGCACTTTCTCTTATAGCTTTTCCCTCATGTGAACCTTCTGGTGCCGACTGAGACAAGAGATTCTGCTGTAGGCCTTCCCACATTCAGTGCATTCATAAGGCCTTGCTCCAGTGTGAGCTCTCTGGTGCCGAATGAGGTTGGAGTTTTGGCTAAAGAATTTCCCACATTCAGTGCACTTATAAGGTCTTTCACCAGTGTGAACTTTTCGATGCCGAATTAGGGTAGATGCGAGGCTGAAGGCTTTCCCACATTCACTGCACTCATAAGGCCTTTCCCCTGTATGAATCCTCTGGTGCTGAACAAGCGTGGATTTGTGGCTGAATGTTTTCCCACATTCACCACACTTGTAACGTTTTGTTTCAGTGTGAACTTTCTGATGGGTGCACAATTTAGATGGGAGACTGAGGGCCTTCCCACACTCCTTACACATATGGGCTGTTCCTCCAGTGTGAATTTTTCTCTGAGTAATAAATGTTGATTTCTCCTTGGAGGCATTTCTACCTGTTAAGCATCCATAAGATCTCTCTTCAGTGTTAGTTCTCAGATAGTTGAGGAGGGCAGGGCTCTTCAGGAAGGATCTGCCCCAGCTGGTGCACATGAAGGACTTCTGCTTGGTGTGGACTCCTGGGTGCTGCCTGAGACTGGAGCTATGAGGGAAGGTCTCCGTGATACTCCTCTGCAGCTTCCCCATGCCCTTGGAGGCCTGTTGCTGAACAAAGCCCAAGCTGGCCTGGAAGTCCTTGCCACATTCCCCACATATGAAGGGCTGTCCTGATGGGTGGGCCCTACTGCTCTTCACCCGCTCAAGAGGATCCTCTTCATCTTCCACTCCACACAGACAACCTTAAAGAAGAGAAATGTCACTCAACTGAGTATTGGGTTGGAAGAGGAGGCACTTTCATCACCAATGCATGTGCTGTGGTTTGAATGTTCCCCTAAGGTCTTGTATCAGGGAACCTAACCCCCAATATGGTGGTAGAAGGTGGGGCCTTCACAAGGACTGTGCCTTCCTAAATAGATTGATACCTTCATGGAGTAATGGGTTGATGATTTAATGGGACTTCATGGGCGTGGTTCTGATGGCTTTATAAGGAGAGCAAGTACGAGGTTAGCTCTCTTGCTCATATGATCCTTGCCATGTGACGCCCTGCGTTGCTATAGAGAATCACCACCAAGAAGGCCCTCACCAGGTGTGCCCCTGCACCGTGGACTTCCTAGCCTCCAAAATTGTAAGAAATAAATTTTGTTTTCTTACAAGTTACCTAGTTTCAGGTATTCCATTATAAGAAACAGAAACAAACTAATACAGCACGTCAGACACACCCTGAAAAGACTCCATGGGATTACTAGAAGGTTGTGGGGGAAGTGTCTGGATAGAAGGGCTGGCCCTGCATGACAGCACCCAGCAAGATACAATGTGGAAGACCTCAACAGGAATAAGGACATAAAGATGGGGGGCAAAACAGAAGGAGAGTCAGGGTCTCCAAGTCACTCCTCTGCAAAGTGTAAAGCAGGGCCTTGGCTGCTGGTGACACCCAAGCATTGTAAAGATGCGCATGTCCAGTGCCATGAAAAAACAACTAACTGTGACAGAGTAGCTGGCAATCAAGTATGATGTAAGAAGGGACATGTGCATGACTGATGTCCTGTGTAGAGTAGATCAGTGTTAGACTGCTCTGCATAGGCGTTGTGCTGGTTATCACTTTACTGTCTCTCAGCTCCAAATTCACTCATTTTGCTTTGTAAAAATGGACCTGGATCCTTTAAATATTGTTTTGCCAGCTTGTATAATGTTAAGCTTTGTCAGTATAGGGCACTGGAAAGAGACTGTAGGATGAACAAGGGTTTTGCTTACCACTTGGTATGGGCTTGCTTGGCAGTCTCCTGCAATCTATGCCACTTCTCTAGTACCCAGCCCCCTGTACTGACTCCAAGCCCCTGGCTTAGTTAATAATTCTTTATATTAAACATTCCCCGTTCAAATCACTGTGTGCTTTCTCTCTGCTGAGGGGACCCAAATTAATACAGAATTTATCAATTCAGTAAATTGGGAATGGTCCCAGCAAATAGCCTGCAAAGGTGAAACTTGGGGATTGGCTTCATTGTGCCTTTGGGCTTATGCACAATGCTGAACTCCTTGTCAATGGAAAATAAGAGACAGTAACCCATGGCATGCAGCTGCATCAATTAAACAAGCTATCACCTGTAGGGCCGGCCCGGTGGCGCACTGCTACAGTGCGCCGCTTGCGAGCACGGCGGCGCTCCCGCCGAGGGTTCAGATCCCACATACAGACCGGCCGCTGGCTGAGCAAGGTGCGAGCGCAACAATGAGGGTTGCGATCCGTTGCCGGTCACGAAAAAAAAAGACAAAAAGGAAAAAAAAAAAACAAGCTATCACCTGTAGCTGACTGTGGTCAAGTGCCAACCGGTGCCCATGTCTTGGGAGCCCAAGTGGTCCCTGCATTTGACTTTTATGGCAGTAGTGATGACTGAAAGGACTTCTGAGTCCACTGGAGCACTTACAGAAAGTATACAATAAGTTCAGGTGCCTAAACTCTCAGCTCAACCCACAGTCTGAGAAACAGAGAACTTCCATGACAGTCCTAAAAGAATCTCTTATTTCTTGTAGCTGCAGAGCTGATATTGCTGAAAATCAAACACAAAATTCAATTGTGCAGGTGGCTGATTTACATCAGTTGAAATCACAGTCAAAGTTCCTCGTGTGGAAATTAGGGCATTGATTGATAAAAAATGGGACAGTGAAACTCAAGTGGGAACATCTGGTTGGACCCAGAAGAAAATGACAATTTTTTTTTCTTTTGGCAGCTGGCCAGTACGGGGAACCAAACCCTTGACCTTGGTGGAAAATGACAATCTTAAATCCCCAAGTCACTGAGCCTCTCTCACCAGTAGAAGTAGCTTGGTCTCCAGTGTCTGAGTAGACTACCCCTCCTCTGCTTGAAAATCTGTGATAACCTCACCTGGGGCAGATGCCCATTCTCCACAACACCCACTCCCACCTTCCCCTATGGCTTGCAGACCTGTAACTAGGTTAAATCTCAGCTCACTCCATGGGGGGAGTTGCATCCTGTGACTTGGGAGATGGCTTACACATGAAGGAATTTCAAGACTTTGCTATTATATAAGTTAGGGAACACGTGTAGGAGTGGATTCTAAGGTCAAGGAGGATGGAATTTAACACATTGGGCTGCATTTGTTGATAAGGGTATTGGGAGATGGCTTACACATGAAGGAATTTCAAGACTTTGCTATTATATAAGTTAGGGAACATGTGTAGGAGTGGATTCTAAGGTCAAGGAGGATGGAATTTAACACATTGGGCTGCATTTGTTGATAAGGGTGTACTTACTACTATTTCCAAATTTCCCATTTTAGTCAAGAAGCTGAAGGTGGCTTAACAACTGAAACCTGGATTCAATGGTGCCCTGAAGTTAATGAGACTGAGATTCCAGAACTTCCCCTGGAATGATGTAGAAAAGGAAATCCAAAGGCTTAGAGAGATAGGTTTGTTGGACTGGATTCGCGATATGGGACCTGCACTTCTATGGTAGGCTGAATAACCATGTCTGTGCTCTAATCCCTAGATCCTGTGAATATGTTTTCTTATATGGAGAAAATGATTTTGGAGATGGAATTAGGGCTATTAGTCAGCTGACCTCAAAATAGGGAGATTATCCTAAATTATGTGGGTGGGCCCACTGTATTTTCACATGGGCCCTTAAAAGCAGAACAGGCAGAAGAGTTAGTGAGAGATAAAATGACCCCCCCAAAAAACAGAAGAATTAGAGAGAGATAAAATTTTAAAATAAATAAATAAATAAATAAAGCAGGAGATTCAGAGCATGAGAGGGACCCAAACTGCCATTACTAACTTTGAAGATGGAGAAAGGGGACCCTGAACCAAGGAATGCAGGTGGCCTTCAGAAGCTGGGAATAGCCTTCAGCTGACAGCCAGCAAGGAAATAGAGACCTTAGTCCTAAACCACAAGGAACTGAATTATAAACCTAAATGAGCAAGGAAATGGATCCTCCCCTAGAGCTTCCAGAAAGGAATGCAGCCCTGAGAACACCTCAATTTTAGCCCAGTGAGACCCATGTTGGACTTCTGACCTAAAGAACTATAAGATACTATATTTGTGTTGTTTTAAGCGCTAAGTTTGTGGCAATTTGTTAGAGGAGCGACAGAAAATAAACCATCACCCAACTATGTTCCACAAGAAGACTCATGGTACTCCCTTCGCTAAAGTAATTGAGAAATACATTAGCGTATTAGTCTGTTTTGTGTTGCTATAACAGAATTACCCGAGACTGGGTAATTTATAAAGAAGAGAGGTTTATTTGGCTTACGATTCTGGGACGCTGCATCTGGCACGGGCCTCAGGCTGCTTCTACTCATGGCAGAAAGTGGCAGGCAGCGGGTGGGTACAAGCAGATCACATGGCAAGAGGAAGCGAGAGAGAGAGAGAGAGAGAGAGAGAGAGAGAGAAGGTGCCAGGGTCTTTTTAAGCAACGAGCTCTCACGGGAACTAATAGAGTGAGAACTCACTCATTAATCACCCCTCCCCCAGGGAGAGCATTAATCCATTCATGAGGGATCTGCCCCCATGACTCAATCAGTTTCCAACACTGCCGCATTGGAGATCAAATTTCCACATGAGTTTTGGAGGGGACGACACATCCAAACTCCATCAATTAGTGATAGGAGGACCCGTAGCCTTGAAAATCTCTGTGGTTGCTCTTTTGTAAGCCAGCTATGGCTCTAAGAGATGGTGCCATTGAGATGGGATCTCTGATTTCCATGGGATGATGGGATCCCAGAATAGCAGAAGCCAAGTGGCAGCACTTAACTACCAAATACAAGGCGGGTACATGTGTTGTAAAATGCAGCAGGGATATACAGGGGATCAGAAATCCTTGGCCTGCAGAGGTCTTTATTTATTTTTGGTGGCTGGCCAGTAAAGGGATCCAAACCCATGATCTTGGTGTTATGAGCACCATGCTCTAATCAAGTGAGCTAACCGGCCAGCTCCTGCAGAGGTCTTTAGCAGTGGTTGATCGATTATGATGTTCCTCAGAAAAACAGGGGCAACCTACCTGAGTAGTACGTGATCTATTTATCATAAAAATCTCTATGTCTAGTGCCAAAAACCTAACTTAATTTGCCACTGTAGAGAGACACAGCCTCTCACGTAGTTTCCAGACCTAAGTCATTCATGGCTGTGGAACACATTGATCAAAGAAGCCAGGTCCACTTGAGAAAGAACCTGCACCATTGTCAAAAGTACATACCATCTATCTTCCTCAAAGTCTTCCCTAAAGGGACCTGCGGCCAATTATTAGAGTGACTATGCGTTGGGGAAAAAGATACGCCCAGACCTTTGAAGGATTACTAGACACTAACTCTAAATTGACACGAACTCCTGAGACCCAAAATACCAGTATGGCCCTGTAGTGAAAGTGGGGGCCTATGATGGTCCATTGATAGATGGACTCTTTTTTTTTTAAAAAAGATGACCGGTAAGGGGATCTTAACCCTTGACTTGGTGTTGTCAGCACCACGCCCAGCCAGTGAGCGAACCGGCCATCCCTATATGGGATCCGAACCCGGGGCCTTGGTGTTATCAGCACCGCACTCTCCCGAGTGAGCCACTGGGCCGGCCCAGTAGATGGACTCTTACTTCAGGTCCAACTCCCAGTGGGCCCAGTTGGCCCACAGACACACACTGTGGTTATTTCCCCAGTTGCTGAGTGCATAATTGGAATTAGCATACTCAGTAACTGGCAGAATCCCTACATCCCCATGTGACCCATCAAGTGAGGGCCATTATGCAAGAAAGGCTATATGGAAGCCTCTGGAGCTTCCACTCTCTGCCAAGACAATAAACCAGAAGCAGTGTTGTATCCCTGCAGGAACTACAGAGATTAGTGCCACTATCAAAGATTTCAAAGAAGCAGAGGTGGCAGTACTTATCACATTCCCATTTAACTCACTAGTTTGGCCTGTGCAGAAATCAGATTGATCTTGGAAAATGGCTGCAAAACATCATAAATTTGATCCAGTGGTGACTCCAATTGTAGCTGCTATTCCAGAGGTAATGTCTTCACTGCAGCAAATTAACAGACCCCCTGGCACTTAGCACGCAGCTACTGAACCATCTATTGCCTTTTTCTCCATACTAGTCTGCAAGGATCACCAGAAACCATTTGTTTTTACCTGGCCAGACCAACACTATACCTTCACATTGTTACCTCAGGACTACATCGATTCTGCTCTCTGCCATAATATAGTCCACAGAAATCTTGATCATCTTGACATTCCATAAACATCACATTGGTCCACTTCATTGCTGACATTATGCTGAGTGGATCTGATAAGCAAGAAGTAGCAAGTACTTTAGATACCTTAGTAAGACATATGTAAACAAGAGGTGGGAGATGAAATCTACAGAAATTCAGGGGCCTGCCATCTCAGTGAAGCATTTGGGGGCTCAAAAGCCTCACACCATTCTACCACCAAAAAAGAGGCACAACCACTTGGATTATGGAGGCAACAAATAGCATGTTTGAATCTACTACTTTAAACCATCTTCCAAGTCAGCCATCGGGCTTCCTGTTTTGAGAGGGAACCAGAAAGAGAGAAGGCTCTGAAGCAGGTTCAGGCTGCAGTATAGGCTGCTCTACTACCTGGGCCTTATGATCCAGCAGATTCAATGATATTTGAAATATCTGTGGCAAATAAGGATCCTGTATGGAGCCTCTGGCAAGCAGCAGTAGGAGTATTACAGCACAGACCTCTAGGATTTTGGAGCAAGTCTACCCCATCTTCTGACGATAACTATTCTACAGAGAAATAACTTCTAGCTTGCTACTGGACCTTTGGTAGCAACTGAATACCTAACCATGGGATACCAGGTGACCATCATGAACTGCGTGTTGTCTGATCCACACAGCCACAGGTTGGGCATGTGCTGCAATCTAACATTAAGTGGAAATGGTATATCAGAGATCAAGATTGGCCTAGGATATGGCAGGTCCTGCACAAGACTTGTGGAGGAAGAGGGCAACTTCATAGCACAGAAGACCCATGACTCCAAGAGGGTCACCAAGCTAGGGACAGGCTGAGATTGGTGGGATCAGTTGGGCACACTGTAAAAGACCTGGCACCCAAGCCAGCTGCAGGGAAGCTGGGAAGGAAGCAACTTCTGTGATATAGCTTTGGAATGAACAGAACTTTCCATGGGGAAAAGGCAGAGGTGGTCAGTGTGCTGGGGGAGGGCATGAGGGACTTACCCAGTGAACTAATGAGCTCATAGTTCTCCAGCATCACATCACGGTACAGGTGCCTCTGGGTAACATTAAGTAGCCTCCATTCCTCCTGGGAGAAATACACAGCCACGTCCTCAAATGTCACCAGACCCTGCAATGATGGTTTCAGCTGATCTGTGCGGCCAATGAGTGGGCAGGAAAGCCAGACAAAGTATGGACAGATGGACACATCCAGGCTCTTGACCTGGGAGGGTTTTGGCACATCTTTCACTGATAACCTATTTCCCCAGAAGCCCAACCCTACCCCACAACACACACACACACACACACACACACACACACACACACACAGAGAGAACATGATACTACCTCCTTCCTCAGACCTCAGTTGATAACCTATTTCCCCAGAAGCCCAACCCTACCCCACAACACACACACACACACACACACAGAGAACATGATACTACCTCCTTCCTCAGACCTCAGTGGGAATACTAAGGTCCCCATACCACTGGTGCCTCTTTTCTTGTGTTACTATTGGACATGGCATCCAGCCCACAGAAACAACAAGCAAGTGACCAAATGGACACTATCTATGTTCTGGTCCAGGCACAAAGACACCCCCCCTTTTTCCTGCCAGCAATTCCCGGTGTCTAACAGATCACCACCTCTCAGATGCAACCAAACCCACACTAACCTTTCTCCCTTAGCGCCAGGAACCTGGCCCCAGGGCCTTTTGGTTTGCCCTCCCGCCCACCAGGCACATAACTCCTTGTATTCAGCATGTTCGTAACTCTGCCCTTCCCAGATTAACCTCACCAGTTAATCCCAGAGGCATCTCCCTGGACTCCCCACATACCACTCTGCACATGGTGTCTCGTGTGTGTCTGACATGAGCAACCATGATGTCATCCTGCTCACACCTCTAATGGCCCCACTGCCAAGGGCATCCCCCAGCCCTGCAATGGAGACCTCTCCACCTGGCTCTGTTCCTAACTTCAACATTAGGCCACCCAGAACCACACACACGTATCTCTGAGACCCTGGGGCCACCTTCACCTTTACCTTTGCACAGACTGTCCCTTCACCTGTCACAACCTTCCTCTGTCCACCTGAGGAATATTCAGTGCCCAGCCCACTGGCCAACACCCTGGACCTGGGTCCCTGCCTGTCTCCCATGTGACCCCTTCTGCCACTGAATGACTCTGCAACCATGAATGAAAAGCCCCAGAGGGGAGAATAAGCCCAGTTCCAGGTCCCCCTGACACCCTACCTCCATCATGGCCACGACACAGTCTCCATTCGAGGTCCACTCATTCGTCAGAAGCTTTGGCTCCCCTGCTACTACCCCCTCTTCATCCTCCTCCTGACATAGGTCCACTTCTCCGTGACAGTCTCAGTGACACCCACCACCTCTTGGTTCAAAAACAAGACACCTTGTCCTCACCCTCCAGCATCTCCCTCAGATCATTGGGGCGTTCGTCTCCATCCTGAATCCAACACATAAAAGCATTCTCGTCCACACACCGCCTTCATACCTGCCGACCAAGCGGGTGAATGTTTTCACCAGGGACCCCACAGAGTACCCAAGCTCTGTGTCCCCATACCCACTCAATGCCGCCATTCTGCAGCCTCTGGGACATCTCGCACTGACATGGCCAAAACCTACCTCCGGATCTTCCTCCTGAAATCTAGAACGAGCTCCCCGTGCCAGTGATTACCCAGTGCTTCCCAGACTCAATGTCAGAGAGAAGGCAAACCGACAAATACCAGGAAACAACCATCCCTCAAACGGGGCGCAGGAACCACGTGGATGAGGGTCCCAAGGGCGAGGGCCTGTGTCCACTCACCCGCGCACGGTTCGTCGGCGCCACTGCCATCTAGACTGTAGGAAGGGCGGGACCTGCGGGCTCAGCCGACCCCCCTACACCTTCATTGGGCAGGGCAACTGAGGGCCGACAGTCTCACTCCGAGCCTCAGTCTCCCCGGTGTAAAATGGGCACAGTGCCCTGGGCGTCGCTTCTGGGTCTCCCGAGGATCGCGCGCGGGTGCGGAGAGCAAGGAGAGCGCCCGACCCCAGCAGGCCCCGGTGGACATCCCCGTGACACGGGATCACGGCTCCCACGAAGGTATGATGAGGGGTCCTGGCCTTCTCCCGCCCCTTCTCTTCAGGCCTGTGTAACCTCCAGGGACTGCAGCCAAGCCCGCGCGCGTGCGGTCGAAGGAGAACTACATTACCCAGAAGTCCAGTCGCCGCTTTCGTACCTGCTGTGGCCAATGACTGCTCAAGATAGGGGCTTTCCGTGGCGGGCCGCGCCTACGGGGGCGGGACTTCCGGCGTCTCCCGCCAAACGTTTGTTTAGAGTCTCTTGGTTCTGCCCGCACTGGGCGGCGGAACCCGATCGCCAAGAGTCGCGCAAGTCCAACCTCTGTGCCTGTGACGCTCCGTTACCGTGGCTGATGTTCTTCCCCGAGCCAGTGTCCCCGGCCGTGATGATAGGTAGACCCGCCAGGGGTTTTCTCCGAGGCCTCCGCCGAAGCCCCCCAAAGTCTCCATTTAACAGAGCTGGAGACAGAGGCTCAGAAAAGCGACCCTGGCCGGAGTTTAACGAGCAGCTAGGGGCCAACGGCCGGAGGACCTCGGCAGGACGGTGAAGTGTCAGGGGAAGATCAGCAGTTGGATGTGGGCAGAGGCGTGGATGATCTAGGGCCCGGGCTCTTCCCACTGCTCCGTGCGTGCCTGTCTCTGGCAGCTGGAGCCTCGACAATCCCTTTTGTAGAAATTGAGAACGGACGGAGAAGATTCGTCCTGTAAATGAATGATGGGGAAAGGCCTGAAGGGGAAGCAACCCTTATTTACCACTGAGAAATTCACAGTGGAGCAGAATTCAATGTGTGTAAGATGTGTGGAATGGGCCTTCGTCATATCTCCCACCTCTGAAGTCAGCAGCAAGTTCACACCAGAGAAAAAATTTCCCCCAGCAGCCACTGGGGGAAAGCCTTTCGTCCAAAATCGCCCCACGCCCTAACTTGTTTGGCATCCAAGAGTGCTCATCTTGTAAGTGCAGCCAATGTAAAAGCTACATTTTTGTATTTTCTAGAATTCACATAAATGGAATTTTACAGTTTCTCATTTTTTTCCTGGCTTCTTTCCCTTACCTTCATGCTAAGATTTTTTTGTGGTGTTGCATATATGGTGTTTACTTCTGATCGCTTAATAGAATTCCATTTTATGGATGCACTGCATTGTATTCATCCACCCTGGTAATGGATATTGGAGTTGTTTCCACTTTATGTTTACTTTGAATAAAGTTGCTATGAATATTTGTATACAAGTCTGTGAGCATAAGTTTTCATTTCTCTTGAGTAAATTCCTAGGAGTGGGATGCAATTAATATTTAAATATGGATACAATTAGTTTGTTCAATCTATAAGTTTTTCACTGACCCCAGTAGTAATTATTTAGAAATTTTGATTGCTTAATGTTTAAAAATGCTAATTGTATGATAAGTTCATAATTTACTAAATGGGCACGAAATAAGAGTAGTAAAGTATTCTTCCGCACACACCACAGTCCTATACCCCCAGCATAATTCAAATCCACACCACAAGCATAATTGCATTGGGAGGAAGGGGTCACCTGGGGCAGGAGGTTGGACCTCTGTAATCCCTGATGTCCTCATCTGTAAAATAGATAGTAGCAAACACTGCACGATGGTCCTTTACCTGATCACCTCAATCCTCTCAAACACTGAGGAAGTATGTGTCATACCAGCCCCATTTTAATAGTAAAGAAACTGAAGCACCAAAAGATTACATTATTTACCTAAGAGCATAGACCTTATTTGCTGGGGTGGGATGTGAACTTACAGGGTCTAGCTCTGGAGTCTATACCCTTAGCCAGTTCACCATCTGTAGGACTTACGTAGGGAGTGTTAGGAGCTATAAATAAAAATTATGATGTGCAAAGCACAGTGCTTGGAATTTAGTATTCTCAATAAGTGTTATTACTTCATTGCTGTCAGGGTTATTAACATTTATTAGTATTGAAGGATGGCTGCTGGTAAAGTTTTGCACTGAACTAGGTGCCTCTCCTACATGATCCACTTATGTATGATTTCTATCCAAGGATTGTTTCTTGATGCTCAGCTAAGTGTAAAATGACCTGCAGAACTGGACCACACATGTCACAGGGGCGGGTCCTCTAGGTACAAGGACCTTCTATGAGGACTTGTGACATTCCTTCTGCAGAAACACCCTGCTTAGAAGGTATCTCCTCATCTTCTGCTCCACAACGACAACCTAAAAGCAGATAAATAATGGTGAAGTAGGGGCCAGCCTGTGGCTCACTCGGGAGAGTGCGGTGCTGATAACACCAAGGCCACAGGTTTGGATCCCATATAGGGATGGCCGGTTTGCTCACTCGGGAGAGTGTGGTGCTGACAACACCAAGTCAAGGGTTAAGATCCCCTTACCAGTCATCTTTTTTTTTAAAAAAAAAAAAAAAGCAGACTCCAACACACTCCTCTCTAATTGGGTTTCAGCAGAGCCTTGGCTACTAGTAATCTGTAAGTGCTGTGTAGAAGTGTGTGTTCAGGCCCAGGAAAATCCAAATACAACTCAGGTGTTGAAGTACTATTTAAGAATATATGCACATCTTATGACACACTAAGTGTAGATCAGCATTAAAGTGTAGAAGGAGCGGGGATGGGCCAGCCCGGTGGCGCACTGCTATAGTGTGCTGCTTGGGAGTGTGGCGGCGCTCCCGCCGAGGGTTCGGATCCCACATACAGACCGGCGCTCACTGGCTGAGCGAGGTGCGGGCGCAACACCGAGGGTTGCAATCCGTTGCTGGTCAAGAAAAAAAGACAAAAAGGAAAAAAAAAAAAAGAAGGAGCAGGGAGAGGAAGAGTGAGAGGTGGAAGACAGATGAGATGGGGAACAGGCAGTGGCAGAAGTCAGAGTAGAAAAGACAAGAGGGTGAAGTGTCCAAAAAGTGGAAGGAAAGGTGTTGGATTAGTTTTCTAGGGCAGCCATAACAAAGTACTACAACTCAGGTGGCTTAATACAGAAACTTACAGTGTCACAGTTGTGGAGGCCAGAAGTCCAAAATCAAGGCATCGGCAGGGCCATACTCCCTCTGGGGTCTGTAGGGGAGACGCTGTTCCTTGCTTCTTCTACCTTCTGGTGGCTGCCAACATTCCTTGGATTGTGGCCGCATCACTCCAATCTCTGCCTTCATTGTCACATGTCTTTCTCTGACTCTTCTGCCTCTTTCTGAAAAGGTACTGTGATTGCTTTTAGAGTCCTGGACAGTCCAAAATCATCTCCCCATTTTCAGACCCTTGACTTAATCATATCTGCCAAGTTTATTTTGCCATGTAAGGTAACATTCACAGGTTCTAGGAATGAGGACATGGATATCTTTGGGAGCCATTATTCTACCTCCCACATTATTCTGCCTTTCTTGGGAAGGAGTCCAGAACTGGTGGGAGCTTCAAGCTTTGTGCTGGCCTCTTGATAGGGGAGGGGCTACCCTGATGATGAGCCAAGTCAGCACCCCAGGGGGAGGGACTACCCAGAGCCAGTGGGGTCAGAAGAGCCATAGAATGCTTCTCAGACCACATACACACAACCACTCAGGGACAGGCTATCCCTGGAAATCAAGAGTCATGAGTAATTTAAGACAGAAGTTGCAAACTACAGCCTGTGGGCCAAAGCAGCCTGCTGCCTATTTTTGTATCACTCCTGAGCAGAGAATGGTTTTCACATTTTTCTAGTGTTTGAAAAAAATCAAAAGAGGAATACTATTTTGTGGTAGAAAATTATATGAACTTCAAATTTTAGTGTCTATAAAAAAAGTTTTATTGGAACATGGCGACACCCATGCATTTATTTATTGTCTATGGCTGTTTTACACTCGAATGTGCTTTCACTGTGGACAGTGCACAGCCTGAAAAGGTGAAGATATTCACTATGTGGCTCTTTACAGAAAAAATTTGCTGATTCCTAATTAAGAAGCTACAAAGCTGAAGCTAGCCAGTTAGCTCAGTTGGTTAGAACATGGTGTCCTAACAACAAGGTCAAGGGTTCATAGCCTGCACTGGCCATCCACACAAAAAAAGTTACAGAGTTACAGCTAGATAGGAGGAATAAGATCTAGTGTTCTGTAGTACTATAGGGTGACCATAATTAAAAACAATTTATTGTATACTCTCAATTAGCTAAAAGAGAAGTTATTGAAAGTTCCCAACACAAGGAAATGATAAATGTTTGAGATGATGGATGTCAATTGACCCGATTTAATTCTTCCACATTGTATATGGGCATAGAAATATCACACAGCATCCCCTAAATATGTACAATTATTATGTGTCAATTGAAATAAAAATAATGAAATAAAATAATCTAAAGTGATACACATAAATGTGTAATTCATGTATACACAACGGAAAAAATCAGAAATGAATCACAATTTTTAATTCAATATTTACTGGAATATTTTTATTTTTATTTATTCATTTTATGTTTTGGCAGCTGGCCAGTTCGGGGATCCAAACCCTTGACCTTGGTGTTACCAACACCACACTCTAACCAAGTGAGCTAACCAGCCAGCCACTACTGGAATATTTTTATTTATTTATTTATTTATTTATTTAATTTATTTATTTTTTGTCTTTTTCGTGACCGGTAAGGGGATTGCAACCCTTGGTGTGGTGTCGCCCGCACCGTGCTCAGCCAGTGAACTCACCGGCTATTCCTATATAGGATCTGAACCTGCGGCGGGAGCGTAGCTGCTCTCCCAGCCCCGCACTCTCCCGAGTGCACCACGGGGTCAGCCCTTATTTATTTATTTTTTTAAAGATGACCGGTAAGAGGATCTTAACCCTTGACTTGGTGTTGTCAGCACCACGCTCACCCAGTGAGCGAACCGGCCATCCCTACATGGGATCCGAACCCGGGGCCTTGGTGTTATCAGCACCGCACTCTCCCGAGTGAGCCACGGGGCCGGCCCTAAATAAAGGGTTTTTTACAAAAATATTTTAAGGAAACCTCAAATTCATTTAAATGGATAACGGATAATCATGGATTTTGGTAACAA